TTCAGGTTTTCTCGTACCATTAATATTCTACTTCCGGTTTACGGAGTATGTCTGCACGATGAAGTTATGACTGTTAGTAGACAAACACACTATATCTAAATTTCTCTGTTCTTTTCCAGCTTTAATTACTTTAAAAATCGGTATAAAAATACGAATTCCCTGGTTAAAAAATATCACGATCTGCACGCGACCAATTAGGTACTTTATCATGATAAATCATATTTTAGATAAACTATACTGATTTATGTCTGCAAGTTTGATGGAAATATCAGAGACCTAACTAACAACTATGTACAATATAAGTAAAGTATACCATGGTTAGCCGCCGCTTTCTTCATCAAATCCACTAGATTCCAATAAGCTTCGTCCTCGGCATACCAACTCCATGCTGGACAGCTGGATATCGCTGTTTTCTCGTTTTTGTGCACGTGACCAATCCTGCTATCGGTGCTCTGTGGGCTTTGTCCGCGTTCGAATTTCCCAGTTAGCATACCACTGGAAATTTGATTTGAAAAAAATCAACTGCTCTCTTATTATCAGTAAATACAATGTTAGTGTGCTTAATATCTGTCTTATTACGCTGTGTTTCGTTGTACCCTTGTAAAGGGGAATAACTCATGACTCTGGATTATCTTTACAAACAGACCTTGTAATATAGTACATGTATATAATAGGGATAATCTCACTTTCTGCTCTATTTGCTTAATAATGTATTTTTTTTTTTTCAGAACGCGCAATAAATCCTCACAGAATGGGGAAATGTCACAAATACAATATATTGAACTAATTGATTTTTTGTATCTGAAATATTTTATTTTTCACAGGAATTAAACATAAAATGATGATTCAGAGCAAGCCTCAGATAAGAAAATGTTCTCAATGGATTCCAATGAATTTATCAATATACATGTACATGTCGCACATGTGTGGCCAAATCGTTATAAACGTACATTATGTTTAATAATACAAAACAACAGAAACTTGTGTACTTGTGATCCATTCAGTGCATATTGGAATCAGAATTATGTATTGGAAGTACAATGCTTCATGTCTACGTCATGTTGTCCTGTTTACTCATCAATACTTGTTTTATATCAAGGAATCCGATACAGTTATCTTTAAATTAAAATCTATTTTTACAACAACTGCGACACAAGTTTTTCCAGCTGATTTTAATCACTCTTGTTGGCCCAGATGTATGCGCGAGGGTCTTTGTGTGGAAGGAAACAGGAGTACCCGGTGGAAAATCCACGTGGTCAGACAGTTGACCCCATACCTTTTTATATCAGTTCCGTGTATTGAACTCTGGACACGTTACCACTGCGCCTCTCGACCACCTACACAGTTATCTATTAAAGTACCTGAGCACTCATTCTTCAAGAAGGCTCCAAACCAGGACCCTGCATTTCAGCTCATGTTGAATTCCTCCCACTGAAAACAAGTTCCTTCACTCATTAACTTTACTCACCCCTTAAGAGGGCTCCAAACCATGACCCCCTAGTCCCTCATTTCGACATACTTGAAATTCCTCCCACTCTGAATGTCTACAAAGCAGATTGTACTGTTGCTGAAAACCGATATAAGATTTATTGTGAAAATGAACAAAACAATGACTGTTTATATAATAATGATTTGTTAAGTGGAACATAAAGACGCATTAGCAGTGCGTCCTATCTTATCATTGCAGAGTTTCACTCGAAATAACACTTATGCACAAATGCACATAATTTTTCTCTAGGTTACTTAATTTCGTTTTACGAATTACATAAACATTCTTATTTTCTTCATAAAGTTTCGTGAAATTATTCATTTATGTATATTTTACTTTTTAAAGAATTAGTACAAAAGCATATATCATCAAATGATACGGGTTATAATTAACAAACCAGTACAATATCGTGTAGCTATAGTCAAATACCTGAAGACTGATGATATTTGTTAGACCCAGGGCTTTCGCAGTGTCCACAATTTTCTGCGTCTGCCAGCCATTGACATTGCTGACCCCTATGTATCTTATCTTTCCAGCTTTAACAAGATCGTCAAAAGCTCTGAGTGTCTCTTCCAAAGGAACAGCGTAGTCCCAGCAATGTGTCTAAATTGTGCAAAAATCATGTAAGGCTGTTTCATGGCGTATTTCTATTATCGTAAAGCAAAGAATAGGGAGTTTCTTTGAAAGTCATTCTTTCTTCTAAAAAGACATAAGACACCAAACAGTATTTCTGGAAGTAATGTTCGTCAGTATTTTCTTCTAAAGGAACAACATAGACCCAGTAGTGTTTCTGTGAATTGTATCGACAGATCGACAAAAACGTCAGTGTTTCTGCAAAAACAGCATACCATGGTCTATCTACAGCACAACGTATACAAAATATTTTTTCTTCTGAAAGTATTATTCGTTAAGTTTTTTCTATATGGATAGCCTGTCTTTAAAGCAGGAATCCAGTTTCTGTATATCAAACATTTCTACTGAGAGAACTGACCAGTTCTCTATCGTGTCAGCCTAGAAGTATTGTTCGTAAAACGCAGCGACAGTTTAGACCCGTCTCCGTTTCCATAGTGTAGTTGTACTAAGAAAGCTTTTACCTAAATATTCCATGCCTATAGTGGCGTAGGAAGTTCTCAAAAATGAGGGGTCATTTTCTACTATATATAATATCTCTCACCATGTATTCAACTACATTGTGTTCGACTTTTTGGCATGTAGGTACCTACACATGTAGGACCAATCAGATCTCATTATTTTTATTAGAAGAAAAACCTTTGCGTTCAAGACTTATGTACATGTATAATCCTACTCATTAATAACATGATATTATGTATATAAACACGGTACTCTAACACAAAGGATTCTATCTACCTGATATAGGTCTATGTAATCCGTTTGTAGTCGACGCAGACTATCGTCACACATTTGTAAAATATGTCGTCTGCCCAAACCAACATCGTTCGGACCATCTCCCATTTTGGCGCGAAGTTTTGTAGCAATGACAAAATTACTTCGGTTTTGTCTGAAAGAGGTAAGCTCTTTTAAATGATTAACGTATCACATAGATATCAAACTATCTCTAATAGATAAACTACAGCCTTAATACAAACGTGACGATAGTTGGTCAATAATACACCATTAAAACTAATATGACACCGAAACTACACTGTTTACTTAGAGGTGCGATGGAGATCAACACTTTCGGAACTCTTCGTCACCCCATGAGAAAACATACACACATAACGTGATAAGGAATGAGACCTAAATTTGTACCAGAATATTTCAGCAGAAAAAAACAAAGTTCCAATTTTACCATTTCGCCTACTGGAGCTGACTAGTCAAAATGTTTTTAATTTTACGAAAAATGAAAAGGGTTGTTATCGCTTTTTCTTTAGTAAATTCGTTTCAAAAAGTCACTTACTTTTTCAGCCAAGTTCCGATAATTTCCTCCGACTGACCGAAACAGTACATATTAGCTGTGTCGATGAAATTTCCTCCCAGAGAAGCATAGCGATCTAAAATCTCGTGAGCTTTCGCCTCGTCAAGTTGAGTGGGACTAGAAAAAGCCTAAAATAAATTTTCATAACATCTTAGTAATTCAAATAAGATTGGTAACGAAAACAACTGTTTGTAGACATGTAAGAGATAATCGTAAATAATTATTAAAATAACAATAATAATAATAAACTGAAAAAAAGAAGAATGTTATATTCCTATTACATATATTGCCAGTTTCCACTCGGCGTACGTATGTAGAGTATCAAAGATGATTACAATGTCACACCATATTGTAGCTAAATTTGTCGCGTGCTAAATTTTCCAAACAATCTGATATCACATTTTATTATTATGAATCCATATCCATATTTCAAATCTTAATACATTCACATCCTGTGAAGGAAACAACTTTTGTTCCAAATAAATCATGCTTATTGTCCGTCAAATACAAGCAGTTGGTGCCTTAATAAGTTTGCTTGTTCTTTTTTCACTTTTTGATAGGTTTTTAAGAATTACCTTTTCTCAAAATCGGCGGGACAATGGAAAATTTTGAGATAGCAGAGTATTCAAGTGAGTTCAAATGTTTTGTGTAAAATTAGGTTGGGGCCGAAAAATGCTTCAATTTAACAGGTTTTTCGAATTATAAGAATTCGAGATAACGAGATTCGACTGTAACGTATTCAAAATATGTCTAGGAGTTATCCATTTCTGTTGAGATGTACTTTGATGAAAGAACATGTTATTCCGTTGGTGATTTATATAAATATAGAGGATCATCAGTGTTTACAGAACTTACTTTAGCCCTCTGTCACTTTGACTGATCCTCTTTATATCTTTTCTTATTAACAGCGATGTACACGTTATACGTAGAAGAATGACAGATCTCTATCAAAGGGAGAGAAATACATTTAACCAGTGTAACTTTACAGATAAAACTAGGCCGGATCTAAAATTTAAGGGTACATGATTTCCTCTACACACATATACCTACCGGATGACCGCCCCCAGCTTTTCCAAATGTCATAGTTCCGAGACATATATTTGATACTTTTAGTCCAGATCGTCCTATGAACCGGTACTTCCCCTTTGTTGAGGTTGCCATTGTCGTGGGAAATTTTATACTGCGTTCTGGCCGACCTTCTTGAACTCTAAACTACGGCGCACGCGGTCTACTTTGCCACCGCACATATGCGTAATGTCGGTATAGGAGGGACCGTCTCAAAAGCTCTTTATATAAGTGATAACAGTCTTGTTGGAATGTACCGTGTCATATTAGATTATATGTAAAACTACTAAGGCTAGGAGAATACAGGATATGAACAATAAATAAAACACATGCATATTTTCTTTAAGAGTCGATTTTATTTTCACGAAACCACTCTTAACATGTTTTCAAACAACTAAGATCGATTTGGTCGGTCAAACAATATATGGGTCGCGCAGAGAGACGTCACACTCTTTAACCTATCACAATAGGCAGTGCAACAAAGTATAGCACCACATCTACCCCACAAACATGTCGGAATTCACTTTAAGACGGGCAGTGGATGACGATACGGAGGAAATCTTTCGATTGTGTTTAGTAAGTGTTCTCGATTTTTTTTTATCAGTCGTTGAACGGGTAAATAATACCACTTTCGAGGTATTTTGTCATGTCAGAGTTACTTTTCAAAAAGTTTTCGAACCAAAAAGGAATCGATTCAATGCAGAACGAATTCCCTAGTTCAATGAAGTTTACAGAAAGTACTAATTTCGTTTTGATGTACATCTTTGTATACGAAAGCCAGATAGTTTTCCTCCTTAACTGGAATTATCCTCCGTTGAACAACGTAGACAACATGTTTACAACACTGGCATATATTCTAGTATCACATTAGCATACGAGTTTACACATCATGATTTCAGCAAGAAGCACTAATGTTTAAAAAAATGCACGGTGAGGAATTTGATATGCTTTGTGCATGATATCAAGCGAGCTCTGCTCATCTAGCGATGCAGCTTAATAGGTTTACTATCTCATCCACTGGAGAACACGTGTCTCATATAAGAACACAGGTCTTCAACTGAAAGACCTAATAATATTCGTTAACCTACATTCTGTTTGGTTAGCTCATGTTAGCTCAGGTCATGTCGAAAGCATTTGAAAGGTGCTGATCCACCTGTCTGTTTAATTTTATTCAAAATATTAGATTTTTGAAAAATATTGGCAAACATATATCATTATAAATGTTACAGGAACTAGCTGCGTGTTCAGACGAAGTGGAAGCTCTGAAGACAACACCGGAAAGTAAGTTTTCCTAGTTTGTTTAGCAGCTTTTGAAGAAGAAATCGTCATTGAAAAACATACTTTATGATATATCGTATTTCATGATTTTACAGTGCTCAAAGTTCTTTTTTAGAAAATTGATTTTAGTTTAAACATATTTATTGTCAAATACAGACAGTGGATTAGGCACAAGTTATTACAACTTATCAACGCCTTCTCCAAAGATACATTACATATGACAATACAAAACAATATGACAATATAATACAACACTGACAATACAATACAATACAATACTGATAATACAAATGTTGATATATATTTACTCAAAATCTGTTGCTGGTTTTAATAAAATTTTGCACATGTCTAAAAATGGTTGAATTAAGGTCCACAGAAAAATCACAATTACCATATAAAAGAAGTTCAATATCAAACGGAACATTCAAAATATTTAGATTATGTACCAAAATACGCCTTTCAATTAAGAACAGGGGACATTCAATAAAAAAAGTGATAGGCATTCTCACAAGGATGACCACAATTACAGGATGCATTATCAACTAGATTAACTCTAAATAGGTCATAGTTAAGGGAACTACACTTGTGTCGGAGCTTAGTATGCAAAATATTTCCAATCTTAAAGTAGGTTGGAGGACTAGACTGAGTGTTAGATTTTAAACATGATTTGAATGAATTAAGCGAGGGTAGGGTCGAACAGAATTTTCTAAGTTGTTCCAATAGTTGATAGTAGAAGGAAGAAAAGAAGAGTTAGTATGAGAGAGTCTGAAAAGAGGAACCCTATAGTTGTTATTGTTACGTAAATTATAACGATTATTTTCACAAAGTAACGGTGGAAGAAGATTATTTAGAAATTCAGGAGTTAAGTTATTGTGCATCTTATACAATAGCTGAAGTTTTTTTCTTTTCCTGCGAGAAGATAAAGTTTCAAGACCAGATTCAAAATACAAGGAATTGATAGGTGTATAAGAAGGCAGCCCTAAAATAATACGGATGGCCTCACGTTGGGCCTTTTCTAATTTTTCCGATTCAATAACATTGCAACCATCCCACAACTCACAAGCATATTCCAAAATAGGTAAGATAAACGTCTTATAAATTTTTGAAAGAGCATCCCTACTTAACAAATGTTTCAGTTTTCGTAATACATTAATTTTTTTCATAACCGAAGAGTAAATTCCATTTACATGATCCCCCCACAGCATTAGAATTAAATGTTACCCCTAAATGTTTATGACAATCAGTAAAATTAAAAACCTTCCCATCAAATTCTAAATCTATGTGCTCTTCGATATCAGCGGAATTTGAAATAAATAGAGCATCTGTTTTATCAGGATTAAAATTAACCAACCAAGTTTTCGGCCAAGAATTTAAAATCTCCAAGTCTCTATTTAGAGTTACTTGAATTTCTTGACAAGAAGAAGATGACTTGAGCAAGGATGTATCATCCGCAAAGAGACGGGACGTCGATTCAAAAATATCTGCTACATCAATCATAAAAATAAGAAATAAGAGCGGTCCAAGAATGGAGCATTGTGGAACCCCTGCCTCAATAAGACCATGAGAAGAAAATGTGCTGTTAAGAAAAACCTTCTGATATCTACCCGTTAAGTAATTTTTTAGCCATATAAGTAATTCACATGAAATTCCATAGGCTTTTAACTTCTCCACCAGACCCCTGTGCCAAACCCTATCAAAAGCTTTCGATATGTCACAGAATACAATACAAGTATGTTTTTTTTCTTCAAGGACAATACAAATTTAGTGATAAATATCAATAAGTTGATACACAGTGGAATGTCCATGCATAAAACCAGACTGAAACTTGTAAAACAATGAGTTATCTATAAAGTAGTTGTACAAATGTTTAAAAACCGCTCTTTCAAAAACTTTACCAACAGTAGACAGAAGGGAAATTGGTCTATAATTAGAAGGAGAATGTCTGTCACCTTTTTTGAACAATGGCATGATATTAGCTAATTTCCATTTATTTGGGTAGACCCCTGTTGATAAGGACATATTAAATAATATTTCGAGCGGAACACAAACTGAGAGCTGTATTTTTAAGCATATGGTGACTGATTCCATCCCCACCCGAGGCCTTGCCGAGCTTCAATATCTGTAGAACATCACGTATTTCAGTTGAATTTAATCTAATTGAACTAAAGTGTTTGTCTGTTTTAGGCTCAATAATAGGAACGTCAGTGTTGTTGTCTTTAACTCTAGTAATCCTACAAAAATATTTGTTGAATAATTCAGCCTTGTCTTCGTCACTAGTAACTATATGATTATTAACAGGATCAATTAAGGAAGAAATAGGTTGTGAATTATCAGACGTTTTAATTAACCTTTTAATCAATTTCCAATAAGATTTTGGATCTGAAGAAAAGAACCCGTCAATGATATCAAAAACATTTTCATAAAAAGTAGCATGTTTTTTTCATATTATTTACTTTGTTTCGCTGAAATTTAAATTTGTTAATATCTACCAAACGTTTGGTTGACCTCGCTATTTTATGAAGCCTATCTCTTATTCTTAAGTTTTTCCTTAGTTCTGGGGTCATCCAAGGTTTATCATTAGGTTTAATATTTACTTCTTTACTGGGAATATATTCATCAGCAAAAGATAAGAAAAATATCGGTAAACCGATCACAGGCTAAATTAACAGAATCACAATTAGAAAAAATGTCGAACCAATTATGATTAGATATAAGGTCATTAAATTTCTCAAAATTCGCCCTCTTGTACTGCCAGATCTTACGTTTATACACAGGTTTAAGGAGACAAGGAAGATTTATGGAAGCCGTACATCCATCATGGTCACTAACTGATCTATCAATAGAAATTACGGAAGAGTCAATACAAGAAATGGAGTCAGATAATAGTATAGGATCTAGCAAGCTAGATCTAGTACTTCCAATACGAGTAGGTTCATTTATAACGTTAGATAGTGAAAAGGAGTTAATGATATCAAATATAACATGGTTGCTGGAGGCAGTGAAGAAGTCAACATTTAAATTCCCAGTAACAATAAATAAGAAAATTGATTTCTTTGACGTATGTAAATACAAATGGAAATATTGATCAATCATTTTGTATGTACATGTATGAGGATTGTACAAAACACACACAAGAGAACACCACTTTTTTAGACAAATTAAGAGTTAGATATAGCAGAGCTAAACAATGATTTAAACAGCATCATACAGCTGTTTCGAAAATCCAAAGTGATCGAAAAAAGTCAAAATCTAGATGGGGAGGACCGTTATCCCCATAATTCAATATTTTTTTTTTTTTTTTTTTTTTTATAATTTTGCAACAAGGACAAGTTTATGTGTATATTTTAAATCGTATCACGGTTTGAATAATTTAACACGCTGCATGCAGGCTGCTTGCTTGTATGTCGGGTTCTTTATCTACCCACAACGTTTTTTCATAATTCAGGCCCCAATGACGTGTCCTAGAATGACAAAACGTATAATAGATTGTGTTCATTATCCGGTGCATGCAACATTTGTCACAAAGTTCGTATTGACGGATACTGTTTTTTCTAACGTACGATGACTAAAAATCTAACGATCAATTTGTATATGTTTTTTGTATGTTTGTTTATACGTGATTATGCGTTTTTAACACAGCTCTGAGGCGTGACAGAAAATATTACGAATGCTTTGTCGCGGAGGAATCGTCAGCATCTGGTAGGTGCTCATATTACTGATTGTCCTAGTATCAAGGTCCTAAAGTGATTAGTAGTCATGAAATGATAAAATCTTTATAATGAGTCTGCTATGCCAAGAAAATCAAATTCACAATATTTTTTGTTATTCACAAAAAGAAATATCTCATTGAATAAGTGTTATTTTTCACTAGTGTGAAATATAACTCTTTTGCGGACTTACACCAATCAAAAGAGAGAACACAAATAATCTTATAGCATTGACAAATCATAAAGCGTGGTACAAAAAAAACCCACAAAACCGGAAACCTGGATCGATTATTTACCAGTAACACGACCTTCAATTTCATGTTATACTTTCAGCAAACAATGCAACTCAAATTACCTTGTGAGAGATCAAACCCAGTCCCCAAACGAAATTCTTAAATGTGGAGCTAACACGTTAGACATTTTAAGAGGATCCGTGTCATCAACAGCGAAAGCTATAGGTTACCATCATAATTTTTTGCCGCTTAGTAACTTGTTACAGATTGAACTCTCTCTCTCTCTCTCTCTCTCTCTCTCTCTCTCTCTCTCTCTCTCTCTCTCTCTCTCTCTCTCTCTCTCTCTGATTTTCTGCGTGAACATAGAAATAAATTTTCATTGAAATATATTTTTGTCTGAACATATTTTCAATAATTTTGTAAAAAAAAAAAACCCACTAAATTTTGTAGCATACTGCAAAGGTTTAATGGGTAAGTAGTGCCTGCAAAAAGCCTTTCTAGATTCCTTTCGTTATATTTGTTCTTAATATGCCAGTAATTTGGCTATTTTGATTGTGAATATGTAATACATATAATATTCCTTTAATAATTACAAATACATCCCACTCGTGTGTCTACGCACGCGTGAAAGATACTAAACTGTTAGACACGCTTGTGAAATAGACCTGTTTTTACTGACTATACTATCTCATATCCTCTATGTAACGCCTTTGATAATAACTTTGCATATATTGTTTGTCAAAGTTCCTCGCGACAGGTTAAATAATATGGCCTTATTGAGTATAAGCACAAAGGCGTTGTTTCTTCTTTCATGTAGTTTAATTTGGTACAAGCAGAGTCATAGTTTGTGAGAGATGGTGTTCCTTTCTCCAGCGCTCCCCGGCCTTCTCCGACAAACCTCAATCTCTGTCGGCTATTTAACCCCACTGCCAAAAATGAACGTTGATCAAACCCCACTTAACCCATGTATCTTGAATCATGAATTTACACTGATGTTAGCTAAATTATTGCTGACCAACACAATCAATAAATCAATACATACTAACTTTATATAGGAATATTACATAGATAATACGTATATAGAAACAGATACACATACAATTGTATACTGCGTAATTTAATGTAATGAAATCTTTCTGGTCAGTTTGTACAGCAATCCTACTTCACCTGCTTATAGTGTTCAATGTCTTGCCACATCAATGAAACCAATAATTGATTTTGTTTCTGCTATATTTTTTTTATAATTTGATGGAACATCATTTCCCTATAAGCCATCTGGCTACAATATAGATGGTGTCTACTGATGATGATCATTTACTTTTGTACATCTGCCGCATCTTGTGTTTATCGCGTAAACAATGTCATTCCAGAATCTATTGAAAGTATCCATGGAAATAGTACCATGTTTGAGCTCTTGAATGGTAAGAATGCTTTGGTAGAATCTTATGATTTTATTTTGACTTAAATTGTGTATGTCACGTCTATAAGACAACTGACAATTGGTTTTTCAATAAATTCTTGCATTATTATTCGCGCGGTACTACAAGTCAAGGAAACTACAATGTAGCTTTATAATAAGCGATAGTAAAGTTACAACATAACCTTCGCGGGGAATTGATGGCAATGGAAGTTTAACTTATTTTCTATTCAAACGGCGGTCGATTATAAGATTAATTCTATTAAAATGAAGGCGAACTATTATGATAGAAGAGTTTTTTGTTTTGTTCTTGTTTGTTTGATTGTTTTTTTTTTGTTTGTTTTTTTTTTGTTTTTTTTTGTTTTGTTTTGTTTTTTTTTTTTTTTTTTTTTTTTTTTTTTTTTTATTTTTTTTTTTTTTGTTTTTTTTTTTTGTTTTTTTTTTTTTTTTTGTTTTTTTTTTTGTTAAAACGATTTTCGGTCAGACATATTTACAAGGTGATTGTTAAATATTTTCTGATTCGTTTCGTACAAATCGATAGCTTTGTTTATTCTGACGTTGTTTCCGCATAGCTGTTTAAATTTGTCCTCCACAGACTCTGAGCCCAAGCCATTGATTGGGTATGCCTTGTACTCTTACACATATTCCTCCTGGAATGGGAGATCAGCATTCTTAAATGATATCTACGTGTCTCCCAATCACAGAGGCAAGGGGATAGGCTCCGCTCTTCTGAAGAAAGTGGCCCAGGTGAAGACATTATTTTCCATCTACATGATTAATACGATAGATGTATGCCATTTTACTCATTCCGCTTTTAAGGTACAGTTTTAAATCTTAATTGTCATCTTTCTCTCCGACAACATTTTCCTATTTATTTTCTCCGCCAATCAGAACGGGAAACAACAACAAAAATAGATTCTGCAATATTTCCAAGTAGTTATTGTTATTTACAACAGTGATTTTATTTGAAAATATGTTCAGTATTAAAAAATGTACTCCTTAAAATGGAACATTCCTTTTAATAATGTAGATTCTAGACTTGTCGTTCACTGCTTTCCTCAAGTAACATAACAGTTTCAGTAGCTAGACAAAGCTCAGATGTGATCAATGAAACATGTCAATTGTGATAGACGATGCATGAATTCTGCATGTGACTCACCACCTTTACTCTCTATTAGTCATACATGTTAAATCCCACCCATTATAATCCCACCCCTTATCTGGTTGCAGTTATATGATATACAAAGTGTGTTTTACTAATGTTCTGTGTGTATGGTTCAAAACTATTCACTATATTACCTTAGCAGGTATCAACGGTGAAGCCGAAGACACTTACTCTTCCAGAACACATGGTTTTGTTCTCCGTGTACTTTTCTAACAGTCTCTACTTCCCCCTTGTTTTATTAAATCTGAGTTAGGATTATGATTTTGTTCCCATGTTGGAATTTCTTTGCATTTTTGTTATTGAACGACACATCATTGATAAATTACCTTTTAACATCACCCACAAACTCTAATTACACTAAGACGAATGTGTTTGTATTTGAACAGGTTACCTAACTCAAATATGTTTTACTTTTGTTCATTCTAGGATGTCGTCGAGAATGGATGTATATTAATGGAATGGTGTGTTCTCGAGTACAATATAGACGCGATCGAGTTTTACAAATCGAAAGGTGCCTTTGATCTGACAGAAGCGGACCGTATCCATCTATACAGATTGCCTAATTCTAGTTTAAAACAGTTAGCAAAGTAAACATTATTATATAAATTATCTATACTTTAAACTAGAATATTTTATTCAGTTATCTGTTTCTATTTTGATCGTCAAAAGGTGGGTTTAATTCCGCCATGTTTTCATATCTATACCATGAAGGATGTGGGTTGAGGTCATATGTAGTGATGAATTGTGGAATTATCTAAAGAAACTATCTGCACGCTCAACACCTCATTTACAAATGTTCAGACCACTAATTAATTTCTTGTTACAATAAATAATTCATGTCTCTAATGTACTTTCATTTTTATTCACTTTAACAACAAACCCATTCGACAACAACAACTATTACACAAATACTCCAGTAGGTAAATACATGACAAACATTTATGTGACGAAAATAATAAATATCAATACTTATCAAAGGCCATTTTGGTAAGATATATATTGCGTTACATACAAAATACTGTCGAACCTCGTTTTCTCGAACTCGACGAGACCATGGGATAACTTCGAGATAACTCAGTAATCTGTTTAAGTGAGTAGGAATGCTTTTGTAAATTCAGGCAGGGACCAAGTAAATGCTTCGAATTAAACGGGGTCTTTCGAGTTATTTGAGTTTGAGATAAAGAAGTAGATAGTACTTCTAATTTCACATGTCCTTAAGGATTGCTTGTGGTAATTTCGTGAAACAATTATCTTCTCAAAATATGAGATTACGTGCTGGTGTATCATGATATGAACAGGTAATAAAACATTGAAATCATTTCCTTGAAATATCACATGTAAACAATGTAGAAGGAGAAAGTATGATAATTCAGTTCTATCTTAAATTAGTGATTTATAATTACCAACAAGAAATTAACTTTACCAAAGCGATGAAGTTTCAAATACCATCACTATGTGTTTTTGATTTTAAATCAATATTTCTGATCGTAGATCTATATTTTGTTCGTTAAAAATTACTTAACATGAAAAAACAATCCAGTACCACTCGTAGGTTCATCCAGTCAAAACATGTTAAAAACATGGTGCTTTCAATACACAGAAAAGATTAAGGTGACTTTATAGTATAAACTAAAACCATGTTTGAGATACAACGTTACCATTACAGTCGTGAAATAAGCGGGTTTTGTTGATTATACACTAGCATATCGAAGACTGGATGTAGCTAGGGATTACAAACTTCCCGAAGAAAAAATACGATTCCAGGTATTGCTTACCCGAAATATTAAATTAAAGCCATCGGAATTATAAAACGCAGCCAAAAACTTTCAACAACCCCTTTTCATTAGGGATAATATTCATATGTATTCATCCTAACCAAAACAAATTGGAACTAAACACTGGAAAATATCGAAATGTTAATAAGACTGGTATATTATATCACAAACAATGATTTTAGATTAAATTTGAAAACAAAATAACAAAATGAAAAAGATAATAAATGAATGTATTGCGAAAGAACTAACACTAACATCGATATCGTGGATATCTAGCTGGTGAAGCTATTAAAATACAGTTTATCTATTTCATTTTTAAACAAACGATGCTAATACATCAATAATTCGTGTGTACCTCGCTACACATTATATTCCAATATCTCAAAGTAAGCGTTTGAAATGCTCTTTATATTCATCAAGTTCCACAAGAGAACACAATTGTTACAATACAAATGTCAGAAATATATATTGCATCATCAGTGTCGCCCTGCTAGCAGTGGTTTGTGATCGGAATGCTGAGTCACTATCTGTGGACTCAGTTGTGTCCCAATGGAAAGTCTTTTTCCTTTATAAATGTCAGGTTGTGCCATCATCGGTATCCAACCTGCTAGCAGTATCGTTTGATGGAAACGTTGGATCACTGTCTAAGGACTCATTGGTAACAGAATGTGAACTTTTTTTCTTGAAAAAGCCGAAACATTTGAAACAGCAACTGGTTGTTTTTCCATCTTCAAATTCATCTATGTTTTCACTGAATCTCGGAGACCTATCGTTAGTTGAAAGAAGATTTGTGTTTGATAGTCGCACCATTCCGGTTGTTTGTACCACTCGGAATAGGGTAGAAACCGGAACAGATTTAAGGGTTGCTCCTATGTCTATTCTCGGATTATAAGGTTTTACATCTACTTCATTGATGCGAGGGTTATATTGCAAGTAGACATCTGAAACAAAAACATTTGATCGTACTAAATTGGATGATTGAATACGTCTGCAAAATGCGTGCAACAAAATTGTAAAAGTGGACCCAACATTCTAACAATTGGGATACGGAATCGAACTGAGAGCTTTCCTGAATAAACTGTAGGTCTTTGCATTGTTACCTGCATATTACTATTTCTTTTGTACAACCTTATTTTTTATCGATAATGACAGAAGGAATATTTATTTCTATTTTTAAAACCCTGATATTTGTTAAAGTGTTTTTTTTTATATTGAATTGATTTTTTTATGTGCATTTTATAACTGTCATAGTTAATATGAAGTTCTTAGCATTTAATTGTGATATATAAAATACACATTTAATATGTACTTACTTTTGTATAACAGACATTCAAACCCTGTTCCATACCGTCCGTTAGACTTCACCCGTCGTTTGAACACAGTATTGTGGTCATCCATATCGTCATCATTCTAAAAATAGTATATAGGTAAAACTTTTGTTTCAAAATGTGAATCGATAGCTTTTAAATGGGATAATCATGAAACGGAAGACCAGTAATTATATAGAATTTGATTAATGTTTATGTTCAGATGTATAGATAGGAATAACAAATGAAATCAGAGCTGTAATAATAATGATAAACTTTATTTATTTTACAGCAATTGCAAAGCAAGTTTTTGCAACTTATGCCAATCACTCTTGTTGGCTCGGATGGAAGCGCGCGAGGGGTCTTAGTGTGGGAGGAAACCGGAGTACCCGGGAAAAACCCACGTGGTCGGGCAGGTGACCCCATACCATTTCACATCCATTCCGGGAATCGAACCCCGGAGTCAGATCTATATACATATCGTGAAGTAATTTATACATTCGTATATCAATAATCACTAACACACATGCAAATTAAGTAGTAAAGTTAGTAATATCTTACCAGTTCCATTTCAACTTCCCCGTCACTTCCTACTCTCGTTTTCACCCAGTACGATCCCCAACGAATTTTGCAGCACACAACCACTTTTGGTTTAAAACGTGCTGTTCGTCTAGAGTAAGCTGCGGTCATTGGCACCAGTTGGAAAACAACTGAAAAAGCATTTTGAAATATGACAGATGCGTAATCTGAACTTAAAATCGATGAAACGGGGAAAAACGCAAAAAGTGCACAAGTGAAAACAATATTTCACAGTAAAAATCATGACGACAACCATAACACATGACAATAGACAACATGAATTCGAATTCCGAATGCTCGCTGTTGAGTATGTTACAGATCGACGTAAATAGCCCCTTTTTGTTACTGTTAGGGAATTGGTTATTTATTTGAATATAGATAAGTATACTGAAGGCATTGATCATATATCTATTCCAGTAATACGCATCCAACGAACATTGGTTTTTTAGGCTCCAGAACCAATACTGGACCATACCGTCGATATTATTTACTAGATCCTATATATATAGGTATATATATTTCACATAAGTAAAAGGTGCTATGGCTAAAGAGTTAATGGCCGCCGATCGGGTCACGTAGTTCATGACTAGGATTTTGTGTATTACTTTGATAATATCATCTATAAGTGAGCCTAGAAAGAAGCATCGTTGGGGTCCAGAAGGATGTCAATTTAATCTGGGTGAAGACCACCAATCGTAACAAAGATGTTGTACACCAGAAATTCGTTCATTTTTAAAAACAATTAGTCTCATAAATTTTTTTTTTGCATACTTTTGATATAATCTGAGATGCAAAAAAAAAAAAATAATAAATAAATAAAATAAATAAATGAATAAATAATTATAATATATTAAAAGCAGAACAATAAAAGCATTCAGATTTCTACATAATTTTTAACGAATTTAATTCACAAATACAGAATGTTGATGTAGAAACGAGATGAGAAAAATAATGAATAATCAGAATAACAATACATGATAACCTTTTAAAACAAACCAGTTTCCTGATATCATGCAGCATTTAAAATATTGTCAGCTGACTTAACGCATTTATGTTTGAATTAATTAACTTACAATCTTCCTGGTTTTCTTCTCCCATCATTTCCCCTACGATGCTGCCATTTCTAACCGTTAGAAACTTTCCAGTGTTGGTCTGGATGAACACTTCTTCAACTCGGTCAGATTTTGGAACTACCCACTGCACATTTCGTGTTTGGTGTCTAGGTTGTAGTCTTTGGCGTCTCGGTAATATAAATCTCGTCTGTATGCGTCTTGCATGTCCTTTATCCTTCACCGAATTCATATCTGTCACGATGGCGACCTCAACGTCAATCTCTGTCTCTTTGGCTTCATTCTCTACCCCCTCTGTCCTTTTTATTGTCTGAAGAAATGTTTTTAAAACCCAGTAAACATGCTGACTGAAATGTGAATATCATCTAACTTTTTTCGCATATCTATATAACCCCCAAAGTAGCTGATATTAATGCTTCCATTTTACACTGGATATATATTTGCATAAATTATATTGACTCAATGTCGCTACACAAGTACAGTAAACCTGAAGAGAGTGAGTTATCTCCCTGAAGCTGTCAAAGTTTTGATAGTCTAGAATATTTTTATATGCTTGCCTGTTGTTTTATCATTGACTACTCAATAATCATATCTATCTACGTAACATGCATTCAAGGAACATCTGTTTGTTAGTTTCTGAGTACGTTTGAACATGTATGAGAAATTTCCATATTGCCATTACTTAGGATCCCGATACTAAATGTCAGTATAATCGGTAGCTGTAATTTTCAGTGATATAACGGTGTAGATTTAGTTTTGTGATTTGATTACTTTGTGCAAGAAAGAAACATGACATCGAATTTGCATATGACTATCTTTCCACTTCTTTTAAGTATACCATAAAGAGTTGTTTGTTTAGTTCATTTTATCGAAATTATCTTTCATGGTATTCTACACTCAACGATATAAATGTACAAACACCCGGACTATAATAAATTACCAAAACAGCATGAATACAAAAAATAAAGAGGCAATATTTTTTTTGACGAACATCTCAAAGTGGCTACAAAACTAATGGATGTAGATTCCAATCCAATCTAGACACGTCACTAAAATGATTCAAGTATGGATATATGTATCAACGGCATAAAAGGGGATAGAAAATACTTTTTAAGGGCTAGTTTAACACATTTACAAAATGCAGACGAACAGGAATAGAATAAAAGTTTCAAAAGTCTGCTGCATACTCAGACAAAAACATACAACGGTATTAACTAGCTGTAGCAGCTCAATTAATTGTATTCTAAAATACCTGGGTTGTTTGGTGTCAAGCAATTCCGTAATCTACAAAATCTGAAATGTGAATTCATAAGGGCAATTCAAAATAGTTTTCTTGTATTGCCATTAACATGGATTAGAAATTCTTTGTGGAGATTGAAATAATAGGGATTTTCACACGTCCAAGAAGATTAAATATAAATGTTTCATTGTTTAATATTTATTTGTTTTGATTTCCAGCTATGGAGAATCCCGTGTGTGTTTAGTTCTGATGTACTGATAGCTAAACCAGCACAAAAATTAACTTTGTCCTGTGGAATAGTTTGAACTATATTAGGGAATACATTGATAATATGTTAGTTCAGCTAAATGTATATTAAGAACGATAGATATTATCATTGTAATGCCATCAGTCTCATGCTGCTTTGGTATAATCAGTAAAGACCGTGTATAGTTATCCATGTAAGCACACCATGGTATATACACTGTATAATAACACACATACAAACAATAAAATCAACTATATACAGGCATAATCGTTGTTAGTCTTCAGTTCACTACAATACTTATCTATTAAACATAATGATACAAAAACATACCACAGTTTTAACCCGTCTTCCAGTCGCATCCGCTTCGAAAGAAAAAAGCCTAAGTTTGTTTTCGGCAGTGAATTCAGTGATTACCTGACCGTCTAACTTAACGAGTTCATCTCCAGGTCTGAAATAACACACCAATTCTTGATTATTTGATACACATGTAGTACACAAGTAGTAAATAACGAATAGAATTATAATGAACGAGGAAAGATGGTATCAAGGTTTATACCCTGGTAAAACACAATGAAAATGATACCAACCGTAACCAGACTACACATATGACAGAGGACAGCTTATTGGTTAGCATGACAGGACCGTATAGGTTTACAGGCTTTTATAATACATTGCGTTGGAAAGCTGTCAATAATTTGTGTAGCTAGGTCGTTTTTGTATCTGATGTTTTGGGAAGGGTGTGATTATAGTTTAAATACCGTGCATGCATATCAACCACACTTAATGTAACTGGTTGAGATATCGTATGTGAATAGACTACATGATTTGTTGTGCCTGTACAGATGCAGTGCAGTATAAGGTTTTTAGGTGTTTGCATGTAAGAAAATTAAAAAACATTCGAATTGGCCTCGTGTGACAAACCGGCTGACATGGAAACTTTAAAACATAGGATTAATGGCTGCTGTTAATTGGAAATGATTCGTTAAAGGTATGAATGAGATAAATTTATCATTAAAACTATTTTTAACTAACCACATCACAAAGTAGGAGCCAGTCAGGTGTAAATGGATTTATTCACAGAAATGTATATCTAAATCATGGTAGATTGTTTTCATATCCAGAATACACTGCTGACATCAGTAGGTTTCCTTACTAGTATGTCTAAATGAAACCCTTAAAAGCAAAGCGAGAGGACTAAGATTAAAGACTAGTATGAAAAGCATTGTATTTACCTGAACACAGATGGCTCTATGGTGTGTATTTGTTCTATGTAGATATCCCCATCCTTATCCTTTCTGTTTTTAACTGTCAAAAAATTGAAGTGTGCCATCTCCTCAATATATATTGGTATCATCTCTTCTTGGTACTGAAGTAATAACAAAGATAAAATAGCATTGAGTAGAAAATTAGGTCAATAATTATTTCAAATAGAATGTGGTATCAGAACATGTCAGAGATGATGCAATACTAAACAATTAACAGGGTTAAAAAAGAGGAAATGGAACATCATAATAGTAGACAACACATCTCCCATTGCAAAGAATACTACAAATTAGTCAATATCAAGTGTTGTCTATTTAATATATATATATGTTCATGGTAATATTCAGATACATGACAGTATTATTATGTCAAGCATCGACCTTAAATGTGTGTATGAATTTCATAACACTGTTACGTCTGTTGTCATAAAACAGTATGCTGGCTTCACTCATTCATGGATGATAAAATGTTTTTTAAAGCCCTAAATCATCAAGCCTTGCTTAGATTAAATCCTTGAAACTTCCTGTATTCTGGAGCTTTATTTCTGCTTCGAGAATAGGATAAAACTCACTGGCTATTGTAATATCCCTCCGTTTAATATGTGTCCTATAATGCAGTCTGATCTAGATGATAAATCCAATTTACTTGGAAATATTAAGTTATGTTTGTAAATTCATGGAAAGACTCGGTGGAGATTCAATTTACATGAAGAGATGCTGCTATAAGCCTCATCGTTGTTTTTTGTTTTTCTTTACCGTATTGTTTAGAATACATCAGCTTTCACTATACGCCTTGATTTCAGCTTTACTTACAAGGTGCAGGTCTGATGCACAATGATAATAGCCGAAAGATATTACCCCTGACAGTGTCGTCATCGATTTGGCATTTAAAACAAAGTAGGGCTTCTTTGAATATGTTAGTAAGACCAGATTCAGACAGAAACATCATTTAACAGGTATGCGTAGCAGATTAAAAAAAAAACATTTCCATCCATCTTAACATAAGGGTTGAACATAGAGTATTATATACCTACTTCCCCCTTTACTTTGTACAGGTCGGCACGTCTTTTGTTACTTAGCGAACCTGGCACATTGTATGGTATCTGTCTTCGTGATAGCACCCTCTCCACAACATTTGCGTCTGGAAGGTCCATGATATCGCTTTGAACAATATTACGATGAGTGAAAAATCCTCTTTTATAAACTTAGTTTTGGAAGTACCCTAGAATTAATCATGATGTGATGTTACTATGTATAGAACTTTAAGGAAATACCCATTACTTTGTTGTACGGTTACTATATTAGGTACTCTATACATATAACCAACGTAACATCGTCATGCATAGGTAGGCATTCGTAGCATCAAATCTTATATGAGAGAATATTAAAATGATTGTGCAAATACTATTGATAAAATTAAAGAACAACAACTTGCATGGTAAGGTTTCAAAGAACCTGTTTATTGGAAATTTCTTTAAGGTGTACTCAACAAAAATGTCACTCAGCAAAATCTTATCGACCGACCTACACTTATCTACACTTATGATAAAAATTCTGATGAGTAGACGGGTATAGGGATTTCTGCTTTATGTATAAATCATAAAGTAAGTTCTTTATTTGTTTAGGTAAATTTATGCTAAATCCAGACTCGGGTAATCCATGGTTGATTTTTAAACGTTTGGTAACATTTATGTATATATAAATACATGTACATACTGTGTATGTCGATAGTATGACGCAACACAGAAAGTTGCACCCTTATTAAGCAGTTTAGAACTACATTATTAATATTAAGTCATGATTTACCCGTTTTTGAATTTAATTTTAAATAGTATAACATTTATATCGGATGTCTTAGTATTTGGCAACGAAACGCGGCAAAACGAATTGCAAACACACTAGTTTAAATATCACTGTATCCTCGACTTTATTCAGATTATTCCCTAAAAAGACTAAATGATATAGGTAACATCGTGCTTTCTACCTAATAGTACGAAAATGAGTTAATTAAATAATATATGACGTAAGCTCTATATTGATTCGGCTCTACTGTATCTAACTAACCTATTGAAAGGCGCTATTTACGTATGTGTTTTTGTACGGTCTTTGATACAACATGTGGCAGGCACTGCTGGTGAACTCTACGTCCCCGAGTATTGTGAATTTTCAATTTCTGAATAGCAATATTCCTGCCTCCCCAACCTATGGTGTTTATATGTCACAGTTGATTCGATATTCAAGGGGCATTTCCCATTGTCACGATTTTAGCAAGAAGTCATCAACTGACGGACAAACTTTTTACTGTCGCCATAGTAATCTCATTGAGAAATATTTGATTTCTTTGTGTGATATGAAGCTGGATGTGTTTAATGTTTGTTAGTTTGCCTGTTGGTTCCGGTGTTGTACACCTTGTTCTCATTTAAGAACGTGACATTACTTATTTGGATTGACCAAGGTTTTTATGTCGGGTGTAGTCGATGAAGCAGAAGACACTTTCTCTGGATTTCCTAGTCTTAATCTCCTTCTACGTTTTCAAGAGTCTGTTTTTTAATTGCCCTATTTATATGGAATTGGAAATAGGATTATGATTTTGATGACATGTTGGTACTCTTTTGATAAGTTTTGCTGTAACCTACATACCACGTTTCAATTTATTCGCCTAGTTGCACGGTTCAGTATATACACATGTACTTGGCACTGGTCTAAAATAATTGGCTGCTACATCTCCCAATCTTGATTTTCACTTTGCTGTTGATCACTTTTCCTAGGCTCCAAAATTTAGGCCCTTAGCATCAAGGATAAGTCCTAGAAGCACAAACCAGCTATATGATGCAAATTACTTCATTGTGTGGCTCTACTATATCTAACAAAATTATTAAAAGGTGCTATTCACGTGTATGTCTTTCTTGCAATCTTGCAATAACCCTATTCATAAATAACCAATGATCAATCACAATTACAGGAGACAATGTTTTGTGGACTGTGGTGTAAGGACACTTTTGCCGCCAAGAATTGGGTTATAATTCACAACTAAGTCAAATGGATGTCGGAGAAAATATTTTATTAACACTTATGTAACAATGTACAAAAACTGCATTTGTGTATGTTTTCATCGTAATGAACTTCACTTGAACTACATTTGAAAAGTTCTTAATCACTCGATAGACGTTGCTTCGGTGTGTAGAGCTGGAACCGTTCCCTGTTTCAAAAAATACATATTCGAATAATTCCTCGTATAACACTAATCTGATTCAGTTGTTAAGTTCACCACTTCGGCATTGAAATATATTCTATATTTGGCATACGACCATGTATATTACCAAATAAACTACCAATCAAAGTAATTTTTTCCGGTCACTACCAACTTGAATCATTTTGAATGGTGCATATTACTCGGAACACACTGTTATCCAAACGCTATACACACGAAGTGTACTTCTCACTTCTCACAATGTACAGGGCAAATAGATACATTGTTACTTCACTTAAATTTACATCTCCCTCTCTGACGTGCGACATTGAAAGGGTACGGTAATAAGGAATTAGCCAAGATCACCGTTCACAACGGTAGGCGGATAGGCGCATATACAACTTTATACAGGCCATACATATTTGGATCGTTACATTAGTTATTTACAGCTTCATCAGAAACATTTAATATCCATTAGTCCCGTGGCATCTTGTGTCGTGTTTGAATGCTGACTACCTGCTTTAATGTATCTTATGATAAGGGGATTAGCGATACATGTTTGTATGGCGAGATAGCTCACGGGTTGTTCAGCAAATAGAACTTTGTAGACGGTGGAGCATTTTTCACAGTTGCTCTTTTATTATTGTTGGGTCCTCGGATGGTCACCTTGTTACTTTGAGGGTCGAACAGCAAGTACGTATCTGGAAAAGATTAAAATACATAGCATTACATGGTTCCGGTCTAGCAAGCAGAACGTAAATGTAAAATTTGTCAAAAAACAATTGTTATTAAAGTAGACCCGTTCTCTCAGTAGTAGATACGATCATCCTTAAAAATTCACATGAATCAGATGAAATGTGTGGTGCTAATTTACCTCATATGCAAGTAGAATTGTTCATTGTTTATATTAACATTTACTATTTATCATATTTATATTTGTTATCATGTTATACATGGAGTAGCAAGTTATTAATAGATACTATTATAGAGGAGCATGGTTTGTTCGATGTTTATATTCTACGGTTTGCTTTGTTTGTTTTCAATATTTTCTTAAATTATAAAACTGCGGAGAGGCATATAGTAAAAACCGAGAGTTAAAAGGCTAATTACTAATTTTTCATTAAAATCTACAAAAACTTACACAACAATTAAAAGTACTAGGATGGGAAAAAGACCTGGACTGGTTATAGAACTTTCATTATTGCTTACATCAACCAGATACTTACTTCTGAACAAAAGACTCTCAAAATGGGTGCTATTGTCTCCATTAGAGTTCCTGCGACGTTTAAACACAGTCGTATGATCGTCTGCGTCATTTGTACTCTGCAAACATATATGTATTATGTATGTATAAGGGCACTGAATCAACACGTTTAATTAACGTTGTTCTAAAATTATCTGATAAAGGAAATTTATCTAATCATGGGGCTAATGCAACTTCCCGTCTAGATTTTGACTATTCTTTCGATCACTTAGGATTTTCCTCGTCGCCTTCCTGGCTTCAAACGTTATTTGACTCTTTTGTATCTTTTTAATTTGTAATAAAAGGGACTCTTTCAAATGAGTAACAAGATCACAGCGGGAAATGTGAAGGATTAGTATTGATGACTTGATCGTTTATAACTTTTTTTGTATCGAAATTGTTTTCTCCTTGAAATGACCACAATTCCTTTGCATGCTAATAAATGATCATCAACCATGAGCGCGTTAATCTGACGTTTTAATTGTATATAAGTTCTTGTGGTGCATGTCGGGGAAGGCAATAGACGTTTACAATATGACATATAACATCCATTCTAACAAGAAACAATGGTAAATATTGAATATGATATAGGCTTTTTTTATCAATACACCAATAACCTGTTATAGAAAACACTCGAAGTTTCGTTGCTTAAGAAATTTTGTTATTTGGACGCTTTTTGGTTTTGTCAATATACACAACACGTAGTTTGCGAACAATATATATTCGCTCTACATAGGGGTTATAGTTGACATAAAGGGGTTGAAAAATGTGCTACTCTAAGATATCAATTTATCAAGTTATTGATCTGGAATTCACTAATGATCAAAAACTGGATAAAATGTTAATTTAAGAAATGTTCGTAAAAGAAATATCGCCATGTTGTAAACCAAGAGAAATATCTCGCATGCATTTAAGTGTCCCTATGTGTTTACGAGAAAAATACGCCATGTCTTACCAAGTCCAGAGAAATTTCCCCTCCTCTTCCTCTGCTCATTTTTACCCAGTAGGAATTCCATCGAATCTTGCAGCATATCACTACCTTTGGCCTAAAGCATCGATATTTTTTGCCGTATGCTGCTACCATTGGCACCAGATGAAATATAACTGAAAGACAATCATTTGAACGCTAAGCAAATTCCATATGTCATGTATTTCAAGATAAATGACATTTGAATGGTTTGAATAATCGAACGGTTTTGTGTCATGTCATAAGAATATGAACTACCCAGAGCTAATTTCAAATACATCCTAATATTTCAACTTTATTAACGGACTCTTTTCTTTAAAAAAGATTCAACATTTTATTTCGAAGTTGCTGGATACTGTAATCTACTGCGCTAGTACTACACTCTGCCAAAAGGAAAGTTAAAATGGAATATTCATAAATTAAGACAGAAAATGTTCGAAAAAAGAGGAAAGGGGAATTCAAACGGAAGACGTAGAGATGTACAGAAGAGTGTGCTTTTCTGGAAGATTACTTCATCGTGTGTATTTCGCTGTGTTGTACGTTTAGATTTTAATGCAGTTGTTATTTATTTGCATGGTTAATAAGTAAAGAAATCGCTGTCTCTCTGTTAGTGCGAATCAACTAATGTTTCCTACAATTTTTAGTTGATGTTTATATATCCAGCATGATCTTTTCTAGCTTACCAGGTACACCATCAACAGTTTCTTTTTACGCGAATTCAGCAATGAATAACCATGACAATATATCACATGAA